GACCAAATCACACATGACGGTGAAGCTTTGTGGAAGATGTAAAAACCTTCACATAACTGGGAAGCATCATTGATAAGCAAGGCGGATTTGATGCAGATGAGGAGGCATGGATTGACAAAGCAAGGACAGCATTTCTACAACTGAAGAACATCTGGAACTCAAAACAACTATCAACCAACATCAAAGTCGGAATTATTGATACAAATGTTAAGACAGTTCTACTGTCTACGCGAGAGACTCTACATCCCTTGACCTTGGACATCATCAGCAACAACATACTGTGGCAGAAGAAAAACCAGATTACAGCTGAGGAAGAAATCAAGAAAAAGCTCTGTAAGTAGATTGGGAATATCTTCCAGCTGCATCACAAGGCAAGCCCTAATTAGGAACTCTCAGAGCCAAATGAAAAGAGATAGACCAGAGAACACACTTTGCCAAGAATTAGAAGCAGACATAGAAAGAATGAATAGCGACTGAAGGCAGCTAGCGATGAGTGATCAGGACAAAGTTGGTTGGAGGAACTCTGGTCAATGGCTTATGCTTCATTAGGCACAACAAGTAGAAGTGTAGTGAAGGAGAACACAGGTGAGGGCAACCGATTTGTATTTAACGAAAATTACAGAGTTACTCAGTAAAATAGGAAAACCATATCGTAAATCGTTAATTTGCAAATCTTCAATCCATCATCAATCCATTGTCTGACATTTATTTCACTATTCATGCGTTTCATACAAATTCCATTGTGTTCCCACTCTTCCTTTCTTGATCTTCCCCCATCTTCTGCTGCCAGACATTATGTTGACACTCACGTCATATACTACTTATAAGTAGCGCGCACCACAGAAGTAAGTAACAAGTTCATTTAAAACATTATATTTACTTATTATCAGTATGATTATTATTATTATTATTATTATTATTATTGAGTATTGTTTTCATTTATAATAACTCTTAGAATTTATTGAACAACTCAATAAAATTGAACAGTTAGCAAGTCAATTACCAAATTTATTATTTGAAGAAATGGTTAATGATATAAAGCTATATACATATCAAGAAATTTTAACTCATCAAAATCAATTTCAATTGGATTTAAATAAATTACATGAATTACGTGTAAGTTAGAAAAAAACAAAAAATGCTTTTCAATATTCAATTATCGTCATTTGATAATATGTGATGATTGACTGATGATTGATTGTCATTGAACACAAATAAATTCACACTTTGATATTGATATTTAAACAAACACTTTGTTGATGAATTTTCCTGGTATTGTGAGTACAATGATACTTTTTGTGATTTCACACTTGCTGAGATCATTTCTCTTTGGAAATAGCTGCGTGTCCTTATTTCCAGTCTGTGTACTTATAGTGGTGCGAGCTACTTATAAGTAGTATATGACGTGAGTGTCAACGTAATGTCTGGCAGCAGAAGATGGGGGAAGATCAAGAAAGGAAGAGTAGAAGACACAATGGAATTTGTATGAAACGCATGAATAAGTGACAATGGATTGATGTTTTGCAACAGGAACAGTCCAGTTCGATATGATGAACTGATATTTTGCAAATTAACGATTTACGATATGGTTTTCCGATTTTACTGAGTAACTCTGTACTCTACCTTAAATACAATTCGGTTGCCTCACCTGTGTTCTTCCAGTCACTTACTACTTGTTCTTCCGCCCGAATCTTCTTGCTTAACAGAGCACAAAACATCTTTGCAGTTACCGCTTGCTATGTATGCTTTCAACGCTTCAGCTGGTATGTGGTTCTGCTGTTGTATCACTTTTGATTTGTCTGATGACCATCTTATCTCGTCAATTGTTGGTTAGTCAACATCTATTTGGAGGTCCGTGAATGCTGACTTGATGTTGGGTGTGTGTTCAGTGGGTCTGGTCTATTCACTACAGGAGTCGAATCTAGTACCATTTGCTTTACCCCATATAACAAACCAGTAGATAGGGACATAACACGATACCGTTTGAAGCGAACGTTACTAAGTCCCAGTCCGGAAGTGAGCATCTGTTAAGCTATGAGGCATCTTAGACCTGACCGTGATGTGTGCTAACTCCCCACCCCAAACTGACTACTTAAGAGAGAAGACAGGATTACAAGACAAAATCTGTTTGGCTATCGAATAATATGTACACAAAATCGTCTATGTGCATATTCCATCGCCTTCGAAAATTAAGCTATTCGCTGACCAATGATATGTATTCATCCATCAGGATATTTTCTGATAGCTATCTAATGACCCTTACATCTGGCCACTTCTAACTGGTTCACCATATCAACAATATCAACCGTTAACCATCTTTGCTAATGATGCTTGAAACCTATCAGCAAAAACAAGGCCATCCGTACTGGATGTTTTAAAATAACACTAAAAATGTTTAAGTATTCTCCGTATTTTTCTGGCTTCCGTAGAATTACTTTGATACCATGAATTAATCATTGTTAGACTACCATTAAAAGCCTAAAAGCACTGAAAGGGCCATTTCGTTCTAAAGTGGGACTCATCGGTGACAGTACGCATCCACGACCTCCCAGTAACTAGATTCGGGTAGAATTTCTCGGAGTCCTAGTGAAAAGACGTGACCAGTGGAATTCAAACCTATCGGGTGAAGGTAGTAGCTACCGAAGACAATGAATGAGGTTGCACTAAACCTTAGATTGATCAAAATGAGAAAATAACCCCGCTGGATGCATCGCTGGTCCAAATCTTACAGGAGAATCGTTTTTCTCTCGATTTCCAAACAGTAGGAAATACACAACTGCCTCTAACTATCTGACATTCAAACAATGTATAAAATACTTAATCATTTGTAGTGTATGTACTTTTATGTCGAACCCGTAGGGCTTGTACCACGTTTTTGGATAAATTGACTATTCCATTCCTCTTGAGTTGTTTGTTATTCCCTAGTCCTTTTGACCTTGTCAATTATTCGCTCATATTTTGGTCATTTTTATTCAAGTATGTATGCGCTCGCTTACTTCACTTATCGAATGTCTGGTTTGTTTTGTCTACCTATAGATGCTTAGCCATTGCCTCATTACACAGAGTTGGCTCACTTGCCTTCTCCACTTCACGTCTATCTGCGCAAACGATTGCCTGAAATAAACTCATCCTAGTGAATCCGCATTTAAATTCTAACGGAGTTCTTCGAAGTATGACAGGAGTAGGCTAACAGACCACTGAATTGATGAGCTGTACTTCAAATTCAACACAGCCACAAAACATTTAAACTAATTTCAATCTTATAATTTGACTCATTCGAAAACTGATAAGCACTATTCATTATTCAGTGATCAATTTTTGTAAAAAAAGATGTTTTCCAATTGAAGTTATGTAGATTAATGTTTGTTTCACGTCGAAATCAATCAATCAATCAATCATTGTTAGACCACCACAATATAAACATGGAAGCACTGAAACACAGCCGTTTCATCCTAATATGCGACTCATCGGTGAAAGTGAGCATCCATGACTCCTGTGGGGTTCAAACCTGTCGAGTGTAGGCAGTAACTACCAAAAGATAAATGGGTAAGGTCGCGCGAAATCCCTAGATTGATCAGAGTTAGACATAAAACACCGTTGTATGCCGGCTCAACGGTTCAAAGGTTAGGCGTTTGCGCGCGAGCCGAAAAGTCCTGGGTTCGAATCCTGCGAGGTTCAGGAGTGGTGAATGCGCACTGCCACTGACGAGTCCCATACCAGGACGAAACAGTCATCATTCAGTGCTTCCAGGTTTCTAATGTGCAGTACAAAGATGTGCATTTTTGTTTACATTTTTTTCAACCCTTACAGATTAAATATAATCATCAACTTCGACCGGAAATTTGTACTCCTAACAATCAACATCAATTAATCAGTCTATTAAAACAAGAAAATGAACGTCAAACACGCTTAGTTAAATTATTACATAAAATGAAGAATATACAGTTACAAATTATCCACAAAAGTAGATTATTGTTTAGTCAACGTTTATCATGTTTAACCGATTATTTATTGATTCGATTTGATAAACTTATCGGATCAGATCAAATTGATCATTCAACAAGTAAATTTTTTGGTTGTTTTAATTAATCAATTTATTATTATCATTATTATTATTAGTTTAAATTGATAATTGAATTGAATTGCATCAAGGTAACTGAAAGTGAATTCGGTTAAGACAATACCAGATAGACAGACAGACAGACACAACGCAGAACTTCGTACATACGTACATCAGTTCAGGTTGCCATACCACATAAGCACAGAGACTCAACTGTCAGTTCAAATCCAACAGTGATAGCGATAGTAGAAGTATTAGCAGCAATGAAGAAGATTTGGGAGCGAACATATGATTCGAGAAGTATAACTCAGTGAGATAAATTTAGAAGGAGAAAGATAGAGATGATGAGAAATTCAAAAGGTTAGAATCAGACAGAACACAAAGAGTGGATGCACCTACGCCATCGCAAACGATTCTGAGCCATGTCATTCAAGGTCTCTAACCATTGGTGACTTTCGTCTCGCGGACCCTAACCAGGTAGTCTACATCTACCAACATGACTCAGTTCACTTGTCAGTGACTTCATGGATTTCTACCATGTTTTGTTTTGGCCGTCTCTAACTTTCTTCCAACCTATTCCTACACCACAAAACATAGCTTGTCGAGGCAGTCGGTGGTTAGGCATTCGTAACACATGTCCCAACCACCTCAACTGATGAAGTTTCACTACTTCATCTATTGATTTGCCATCCCTTCCTAGGACTCGCTTCCTAACGATAACATTGCTTACTCGGTTGTCCCAGGATACACGAGCAATGCTTCAAACACATCTATAATGGAATACTAATGACCTGCGGATATCCTTAACTCTTACTGGTCATGTTTCATAGCCATAATCTAAGACGGAGCGCACCTGTATGCAGTACACTCGTCCTTTGGTTAGCAGACAGATATCTCGTCTACGCCACAAGTGACGAGGGTTGGCAAAAGCTAATCGATCTTTCTGTATCCGTGCCGAAGTTTCGTCATACACTAGATCATCAGCACTGATAAGACTCCCAAGATAAGTGAAGCAGTCAATACGCTCAACTGCTTCACTCCCTGTCACTAGTTCACGTGCTAACGCAAGCCAATCTTAAGGCAAAATTTGGAATTTCAAGGGGGAAAATCGCATCCCGAATATGCTTGCATTGTTGCTTAGGGTAGGGTCACCGAGTAGTACTATGCCATTTTAGTAATTGTAGATATGTGCATGCAATTACTCTGTTCTCTACAATATAATTCATAATGTCTTGGTGGTTTGAACATTTAATTTTCAATTCTGAATTCGTAGGCTAGTTCCTTCCCCCCTCCTTTTACCTGTAAACGTTCGCATTGACGTGATGGTGAAGAAGGTCTTGCTAATCATAATGACCAAATCGAGCCAAATTGGTTGAAACATTCACTCATCCATCTAGATCCTAATGTAATGAATGTGGACCTCGTAGCGAAGACACAGATTACTAACAAAATGGATACCCCTCAGCTCTAGAATTCCATTTGTAAAATAAGCAGATTACTGTCTGTCTTCTAGTCTTCATAACACTTTGATCACGCCATACATTAGGATTCGATACTCATCTCTCCAGCGGTAACTTCTAGGTGACATTACGCTGTATACTACTTAAGCGGGTATGTTGCAAGTAGTGTATCCACACCACACTACCACCTAAGTTAGGTCGACCGCGAAGTTTAAAGTCTGAAAAAAGAAAATCTACAGCTTGTGAAAGTGTTACGCCTGCACGTAAACACGTCACTTGATATACTTGAACTATTACGAGTTTACCTAGTCGGAAAAACGAGTGAGGATCGAGGATCCGGTGACACGACATGCTACTCAAATCCGATTATCCCAACCCCCATATTGAATAAAAAATAAGAAGACTTGATATGAAGTAGAACTTGCATTCTACATGCATCCAGAAAGTACGAAGTCCGAATCCAGAAGAGGATCAGGGTACCGGACTAAGGATCCGGGACCGGGTCCTGGTCCTGGTCATTAAACGTTACAGATAATGCGTATTTATACATTTTGGTCGAATAAGAAACCGCATCGAAGTCTGTGACATTGGCAGTTAAGACGATCAATAGGAAGTAACAATTGAAGTGACATCGATAGTCAGGACAACCAATAAGAAACAACATTGGATCACGTGACATTGATATCTACTAGGACGACCATAAAATTGACCATTAGGAATTAACCAATAGGAATCGACCAATAATTCTCTTAGGATATTGGATGAATATCCTAACAGAGAGTAAACAGTCTCTTACAGTTAAAATGTACTTCGATAATGTATCTATCTATTTATTAATGTGTTGATTATTTTCGAAAATTCCTCCAAATTAGACATTGATCGCGGCGATTCAGTGCAACAAAACAAATTAATGTTGCACAATTCAAACAAATCATTCACCACTAATCATCCACATGACAATCAATTGACACGAACCAACAACACAGCAGAAGAAGAAAATCTAGATCGTGGTAAACGAACATGGGAAGGAGTGAAATTTTCCGAACTTATTCAACCAACAAATAATAATTTAGTATCAAAATTCAATTTCACCAAATTAAATGCAAATAAATTACAAAAATCTCCAATGAAATCATTGCAATTTAGTGAAAAACAATCCATGTTAAAAACTGCACGACCTATTTCAAATATGAATAAAACGTCTGTTGTCGAAGATTTGCATGAAACAACAATGGAACAACAAGATAATTATGCTGATGATGAAGATTATTGTATAGTCAGTGCAAAAACCACTGAAGCGCATAAATCCACTTTGAAATCACGTGATATTGCTGTTACAGTAAGTTTGCTTTTGTGTAAGTTCTCAAATAAGAACATGACATATTCTGATAAGAGTTGTAATGTATAAGAGACATATTTAGAGTGTGTTTATCAGTCAGTCAGGTACAAGGTAGAGAACTACGCACGTACGCACACCAGTTCAAGGTTTGATCATGGAGTTAGGACGGTTAATAGAAGATGTAAGAAGGATTTGATTGTGATCGATTTGATCTCGTGCGCTGTTAAGGGTATGAGGGTAGATGTCGCTTCCTGGTTGTCCGCACCGTGGAGGCGTATTTCTTGAGGAATCTGAAAAGAAAGTTGAATTAGTGCCGGTCTTGGTGGCCTAGGAGCATGACCGCAGAGCCTAAGGGATACATACTTGAGGCCGGTCACTCACGGCGTTTTCATGAGGAGTTTTTGAAGTGTTAGCTCCGCTCTTCCAATGGCCTTACCGCCGGAGACGGGAATCCGTAGGATAAGGTGAAGTGTGATATTTTTAGCGTCGACCTTTTCTAATCCCTTCCTTCCTTGTTGAAGATGCTGGTTGTCCGATCAAAAAACCTTACTGCTGTCACACTCTTCTACTGTCAGCTGTACGACTTCACCCTCACACCTTGACTTGCTAATTTCAGTCTCATCGTTCTCCAATCGACCTGCCCGGAATGGCACTACTACCTACTGAAACATAGGTGCCAGCCAGTATCGCTCGGTTGGATCATCACGATAACGAAGCCTGATCACCACGTCAAGGTAGCAGCTACGGTCGGCAGAGTGTGTTATCGTCAAGTATTATTCATGAAACTGTGATACAAATTAGAAAACGTGGATATTGACTAGTAATGCAATCGAGAACGCACGTTTCATCCTATTTAGGACTCGTCTCCAGGTGAATGAATGTAACTGAGACTCATGGTTGATGCTTACTCTGGAACTTTCAGACGTATTTGCATCCAGCTAGAAATGAGTCCCAAATAGGACGACACAAGCGTCTTGAATTCCACTGCCAGCCACTATCATTCTCTGTCAATTATAATGCTGGTAATCCAAATGCAATATCGAGGTAATCTGCACAGAATGCCCATATACCTAAAGAGACTGATCAGTTATAGACTGAAACACCCATCAGCAAAATTCAAACAAGCTATGGCGTGTTAGATTTAACGTAGGGCTCACTAGTTTGATGGCCCACAGTCCGATATTTATGAACATTTAAATATGCTATGAAATCAATCTCCCCATCAGTTTCCGTATATTATACTTAGGCGAACCCCGTTTGTGCGACAGCGGTAACAAGAAGCCAAATACGGATTCGGTTGGATGAGGTAACCGTTCATGCAGACATGATAATGAGAAGCCTACAAGTTATACGGGTGCGAAACATGGCCGTTAAGATTATAGGACATTCGTAGGTTACTAGTCTTCGATCAAAGGTGTATCCGAAGCATTTGTCGTGTATTCTGGGACGACCGAGTAAGCAATGCTATCATTAGGAAACGAGTTCTGGATAAGGATGACAAATCAATAGATGAAGCATTGAAACTTCATTAGTTGAGGTGGTTGGGACATGTGTTACGTATGGCTAACCACCGACTGCATCGACGAGCTATGTTTTGTGGTGTAGGAGTAGGTTGGAAGAAAGTTATGGGCGGCCAAACCAAAACATGGCAGCAATCCATAAAGTCACTGACAAGTGGACTGAGTCATGTTGGTATATGTAGGCTA